GTTTTGTATTAGCACAATGAAATACCCAAGACAACTAATCTGTAAAAAGAAAAGATTTAGCTCACAATTTTGAAGGTTCAAAGGCTAGTACCTGCATTAACTCAGTTCTAGCAAGGGTTATGGATGATGGCATATTTTGGTAGCATTACACACTAGCTCCCACATCTCCAGCCAGAAAGGGAATGGAGTGAGGTAGGGGGACAGAATGAACAAGTTGGGGTCCCATAATTCAAGGGCATGACCTCAATGACCAAAGGACCTCCAACTAGGCCTCATCTCCTAAAGGCTCCACTGCATCCCAGTAGCACTACTCTGAGGACCAAGTCTTTAATCGTGGACCTTTGGGGACAGCCAAACCAATATCCAAACCAAAGCAAGTATATAGAAATATATATATTAGGGACACCAAATCTTGGCACTTAAGGTCTTTTGATCAGATTTGTGACACTGATTTGTTATTTAGGGAATGATTCATCAGACCTTAGAGGAGTCTAAAAACCCAACTTAACTGCTAATGTTAAGCAATTATATATTGAGAGCTGTACACACATTCTACATCTTTATCCTTCATAGGAAAGTACAGAAGTTTCTATCTAAAGGACACTCAATAATTTATACTTCCAGATTTCAAGAGCAAAACCATGAAGGCTTAAAAAGCTACAGATTTTGGAATAATTATTACTTCATCCTGAGACAGAATGTTCATCTTGTTACATGACCAAGAAGAGTGAGGAATATTCTCTCTTTTTCCCTCTTCCTTGCCAACTCCTTAGTAAGAGGCTCCTTATATAGGTTATTTCCTTTTTGATTATTTCTTGAACAATCCTTCACTGGATAATTTACCCTTGAAAAATTTTACACGTTTCTTGCTAGAGGAAATCAAAATACTGTAAAGAACTTTACTCTTTGAAAATAAGTTTGGCATGAAAGATTATTTTTATGATAATGATTTTATAAAATGGTGGTATTTTAATACTTTAATATTTTTTAATGAAAAGAATAAAAACTTTTTAAAGAAATGAAATCACCTATAGCCTATTATCCTACTCGGGTAACTTTTCATTGTTGCATATTTCCTCTGCCTGTATGGCACAAACCTATAGGGCTAAAAGGTATTTAAAAATCAAATGGTTTTTATAACTATAGCACTCTAATTTTTTTAAAAAATTAAATGGTTCCATTTCTTAATTTTCAGATGAGAAAACTGAGACCCAGAAAGCTATGAGTTCAGCCCAGGGTCATACCTTATTATCTCCTCTAAAAGCAATTTAAATGGTAAATTAATAAAAAAAATAGTTGATAATAAAATATTACTCCCTAATTGCCATTTTTCTCCACTGAGAATGCAGCTGGAAGGGGGAAAATAACCCTATTATGCAATACAATATCATCATTATCAGAGGCAATGTCTGGAGAATTTCAGCTGCAAAATCTGGATGTCTAAATAAAAATTCCTCAAATCTAGGAAGCTTTAAAAAACAAATGGGAATTCAAAGCCTTTAGATCTTAGGATTTGGATTCAAAGTTCATGTATTTGCTCTACACTGCTACTACTGCCATCGCCTGCAGATTGTTGATTCTGGAGTGCAACCTTCTTGATAAAAAGGCAAATTATATGTCTTAAAGAGGCACCTAATTGAGGCTTTCTCTCCCACTGTAATTCAAAGAATTGAAATAGCATTGAGAAGGGGAGTGCTTTGTAGGGAATGTGGATGGCTTTCAAAACAACTATGTTACAAACAGTTTAGATTCACATTAGTGGAATTCTTAATGTGCTACAGCAGAAAAAGGCCTAAAATGGGAATAAAAAAACCACAGTTCTGATAGAAGTCTGCCACTAACCAGGAAGGTAGGGACAAGTGTTTTTGTCAGCTTTTTTATCATTGTGACCAAAAGATCTGACAAGAAAAACAGAGGAGGAAAAGTTTTTTTTTTTTTTCCCCTCACAGTTTCAGAGTTCTCAGTCCACAGACTCCATAGCTCTGGGTCCAAGGTGAGGCATCATGGCAGAAGGACATGGTAAAAAAAGCAGGTCAGGACACAGCGAGCAGGAAGCAGAGAGAGAGCTCTGCTCACCTGGGACAAATTATAAACCCTAAAAGCACATCACCCACCTCCTCCAGTCCTTTTCTACCTACCTATAGTTACCTCCAGTTAATCCATATCAATGGATTAATCTATTGATTAGGTTACAACTTTCACATTCCAACCATTCCATCTCTGAACAATTCTTGCATTGTCTCACACAAATCTAAACTATAAAAGCAAGATGTTTATTTTTCAAATTTTGTTGATAAAATGAGATTAGTGTAGGTGATCTCAGAGTTCTTACCCAGCTATAAAATTCTATGATTCTTTTCTCCATAAATGGAAAAGATACCCTGTATTTCAGTCCCTGGGAAACCCCAGGTGTGAAGAGTTGTCTTTATTAACAAGGCTCTAATATTCTTTTGTTCTCATCTGAGGTAAGCCCTGGGCAGAAACCTGGCCCTTCTTTGGCACCCTGTCCTTCACCTCCCACCTTCATACCCTACCTGTAACAAAACCCCATTGTCTTTTATGTTTCATCACTGTATCTTCTCCATCCACTCTACCAACACTTCAGTACTCGTTGTTTTATCTGAACAATAGAATAAGTGACCACTTTTCTAAAGTTCATCTCAAATTATAATATGCTGCTATTGGCCTCCGTTTTATTAAGATTTACATACCCATTGCAGTGACCCTTGATTTCTCTTACTCTCATACTCCATAATCAATCTGTCAGCAAATCCTATTGGTTTTCTCTTCAAAATATGTCAAAAATATGACCCCATCTCCACTGTTAAGCCAGGTCCACACAGCAAGAACAGATCTCCTTGCTTTTGCCCTATCCCCATTTAGTCTACTCTAAACGTAACATCCAATGCGATCAAATTAAAACATTAAGCCACATCATGTCACTCCTCTGTTCAATGTGAAATCCCTTACCTACAAAGTCTTAGGTGACATACTTATTGTTACCAATCTAATTCCATTTTCCACTATGCTCCCTGTTATGGTTTGGGTCTGGAATGTCTCCCAAAGCTCGTTTTGAAAATATGATCCCCAGTACAGAAAGGTTCAGAGCTGGAGCTTTTAGGAAATGGTGGATTATGAGGCCTATAACCTCGTCAGTGGATTAATCTATTTGATGGATTAGTAATTTGAAGACTACTGGGTGGTAATTGTTGGCAGATGGGGCATGGCTGGAAAAGTAGATCACTGGAGTGTATCTTTTAACAATTTTTTTAGATGCTGATGAACTTTTATTTTATTCATTTATTTATATGCCATGCTGAGAACTGAACCCAGTGCCTCACACATGCCAGGCAAGTGCTCTGCCACTGAGCCACGACTCCAGCCCTATGGTGTATCTTTGAGGATTTATATCTTGTCTCTGGCTTCTCTGTCTCCACATGCTTCTAGGCTGCCAGGAGCTGAGCAGATTTCCCTACCATGCTTTTCTGCTACGATGTTTCTGCCTTGGAGCCTGCTGACCATAGAATGAACCTCTGAAACTGTGAGCCAAAAGAAATCTTTCTTCAAGTTGTATTTTTGGTCACAGACACAGAAAAGCTGCCTCTGTTCAGCTGCTCAGACCCTCTTACCATTCCTCCAGTATGCTAGAAACAGGACCATTTGTGGTGGTTTCACATTTGCTTTTTTTCCTGCAATGGAATACTTTTTGTCCAGAAAGCTGAATGGCCAATTACATCACATTGTCACTTAACGCCACCATCATTTTCTCAGGAGCTGTCTGTGGTCATTCTGTCATCCTTTCTAAAAGCCTTCGGTTTTATTTTCACCTCAGCTTTATCACTATCTAACATACAGCATGTTTTGCTTGTTTTTTCTTCTTATTGTCTCTCTTCCTCAGAGATAGAGACTTTTGTCTGTTTTATTGTTATGTCCTAAGAACCCAGAACAGTGCCTTGCATAGTGAGTGCTCAATAAATATTTGTTATTGAACTGTAGAAGATCTGTACCAAGTAAAGCATAATATCATGCAAAGATGGAGACAGACACTAGATAAAATGTTTGCTAATGGCAAAACAAAATTTGACCATCCATCTTCTTGACCTTGTGTAATAAACTCCGTGCCTTTTGTTTTGATGTATTCTACCTTTCTTGCCAAATGCTTTAAATGTTAAAAAAAAAAAATTCTTCATTAGTAAAGCTTTAATTTGGTCATTAGGGAATGAATTCCATCTTATTTTCCAAATGTTATCTTGTGCACTTTACTAAGTTATAGAGAACAAACAGGTAGGGTCTATTATTTTAGATAGAAAATTCCAAGTCCTAGCCGTTGGTGCTCAAAGTACTCAAAATTCTATGGTTATAATATATAACATCAAGAGGAAATATGCGACAATTATTTGTGATAATGAAATAAAATAATATGCTAAATCAAACTATCTTGAATAAGAGGTAGTAGGAACTTCATTTTTTCCCCCGCCACTTTTTTCCTTTATCAGAAAGTTGTCCTGGGGGCACACGGAAGAGGTTCGATTTATGTCGGTTTAATTAATATTGATTGGATTGTTTTCCCCAAAAAAGGCATCTAGATTATTTGGTGGAGCAAATCCACGCAATCCTGCGTTTCTGTGGACCTGAGAGTGTCGGCCGGGAAACTCCGGGAGGGACGTCCTCACTCAAGGAAGAAGACAATGGGAAGACTTCTGCGGGCGTCGCCGCCTGGGTTAAAGTCCCAAGAGAAAACTGTTGAAGGGGGCTCCAGGGTATGAGGGCGCGACGCCCTCCGCGCTCGGTCCGAAAGGCTTCGACCCTCGTCCTCCCGCTTGGCGGGACCTTCTTACGCTGGGGAGCGCGCACAGCCACCGCTCCTGGCGGTAGGCGGTGGGCCTGGCCCGTTAGCTGCGAGCGCCGCCCGCAAGTCCTAAAGCCGCGCCGCGCCCCGAGCCGGGTGGGGGGAGGGGCGGCGGCTGGCGCAGCGTCGAGTTTCCCAGAATTCCCAGCGGCCGCGGGGAAAGTTTACGGGACGCAGGCGGCGGCGACGGCCGCGGCAGCAGCAGTAGTAGCGGTTACTAGGCTGCCCGCGGCGGACCATGGCCCTGGCCCAGCGTCCTTGGCCTCTCCTCACGGCGTCCCCGGGCAGCGTCGCAGCGAGGAGAGACTTCCGGGAAGGAACTGACATGCGACTGAGCGGCGGTCGGCGCGCTTAGCGCCGTGAACATGCGGCAGTCCCTGCGGGCGACCCCGGGCTGCGGAGAGGAGGCGGCGGCGGCGGCTCGGGAGGGAAGGTGGCGCCGGCGGAGGTGGCGGCGGAGACGGCCGGCGCCTGGCGCGGAGCCCTAGGGAGGCTGCTTGGCGCGGCCTCGGGCCTCCTCGAAAAGGATGCTGTCCCGAAAGAAAACCAAAAACGAAGTGTCCAAGCCGGCCGAGGTGCAGGGGAAGTACGTGAAGAAGGAGACGTCGCCTCTGCTGCGGAGTGAGTGTCGGCAGCGAGACGCGCCCACACCTGGCCGGGCGGTCACGGGCAACGGGGATCGGGCTGGGGCGCCCGGCGGGACTGCTCCGTCCACTTTGATCCTGGGAAGTAGTTTGTTTTTTTCTTGTGGTTGAATTGTTTATTCATTGAAAGTCGGTGAGGAGTAGGAAAGGAGTTCGTCTACTGTCCCTCGACTCCCCCTAAAAATAAACTTCCCTGCCTCCCATGACAGTGTTGATGTTTTGAAATACTGAAAAAGACTGTAGGAAATAACTTGCTAATTCCCTCATGCCGTAGGAATAAAAGTGATTAGACGGGGATATTTTTTCCTCTTCTAAATATGTCGAGATGTGCCTTTGTTTGCAAACACTGTGGGTGTCACTCGCCCGTGCCCCAAGTAGTGTAAACTCTGGGGACAGATTTCAGTCCTGCTGCAGGACTTGGATCTGAGAAAGGTAAAAAGCAGACCATCGCTCTTTGTAGAGCTACCCAAAGCCTCATCACTCTTAGATCTTAGAGTAGGGGAGCCAAAATAATTTGTATTTTGGCCATATTCGTAAGATTACAAAAAGGCAAACTTCTCAAAAATGATTTCTCTCGCATCAGGAAAGTTATTACCAAGATCTTTTCTTTGTCTTACTTCTAATAGGGCATATTTTCTCCTCACCTGCTTTTCTTGTCAATTTAAATATTTGACTCATTTTTGGGCTGAATTTCTTAGTGTTTAGGACGTTCTGTTCGTGAAGTAAGGAGTTAATCTTTCGGTGCTCATACTGCGTGCTGGGCTCTTTGTGTAATTTTCCTTCTTGGAAGCTGGTAGTAACCTTGTGATTTAAGCATTACCTCATATTGTAATTGGGAAAGCTGTTCATAGAGGTTCCTAGTATTTGCCCAAGATCACACAGAAAGGGGTGGAGAGCATGCTTTTCCATTATGTCCACATCATTAGCTTTATAGATTTATTGTAGTAATTGTTGTGCTTTCAACAAAATATATGAGATGGGTGTATCAATAACTTGAAAGTTGATTTTTAAACTTGTTTTTAACAGCTTGGTTTTAAGTTGTACATGCTGTTACGCTTTTAGGTGTTTTTAAATGATAGCTTGCTGTTTGCTGTAAATAAGGTTTATTAAACATTACTTGAAATCATGGCATATGTCACATCATTTAAGCAAATAATGAAACTGTATTTTGTTTCCGTAAAGTGTTAGCCTTATTTATTCCAATCTTAATTTGTTTCAGTGTTAACTTATGAAGCTTATTAATAGTGCCCTTATGTGTTGTTTATTTAATAAACTAATAAAATGGGTTCCATATCCAGTTTTCTTCATGTTTTAAAGGTATTTGCTTACCAAGAATGTCTAAGCTATTTTCACATTGTATTCAGTAGTGCTATTGTCTTGAAAGCCATTGTTCTGCCATTATCTTCTGTTTTAAATTGTAATTATTTATTCTTAAAGGAGCTATAATTTGAGGCTTGGTGTTTATGTTCTTCTTTCAAATGAGATCTTTTTAATTTTCATACCTAAATTTTTGACTTTCTAGTTTTCATTTACTAGTACTAGTTAATTCCAAGAGTAGAAACACAATTACTAACTATAAAATATTTTTCTTGTTTTTTTTTTTAATATTGGGGATTAAAGTCAGGGGCTCTTTGCCACTGAGTTACAGCCCCAAGCTCCCTTCCTTTTTTTTTTTGGAGACTGGGTCTCTAAGTTGATGGGACTGGCTTTGAACTTGGAATCATCCTACCTCAGCCTCCTGAGTCACTGAAATTACAGCCTAATTTTAAAATCTTTTAAAAGAAATTCAAATTATCTTTGAAATCATGTTTGCCAAAAGAAGGAATTTTGGCAATTTCTAAAATGGAGTTTTAGAAACAAAACAGAGTATAGTCACACATGCTGTAGACTGTATTCTGATTTGTTAAATTATTTTCTATTTTATGCATTACTTCATGAGTATTTCATTATTATTTAGTTCATAGATAAGCTTATTGACATTTCATCATATTATGTATGGTAGTCTGCAGAATACATTTGGTTCTGGCTAAGCTAACACATAGCATATACATGCAAATTATAAATTCACTTGGGTAGGAAAATAATAATCTTCCTCAATTTAAAACACCCAAGTACTATCTTAAATTAAAATTAAAATTTTGTTTCCTTAAATCCATTGGTATTTTGATTTTTGAGTGGTAGATGTAAATGAACAGCTTTAGAAAAGTTTATTGAAATTGTAATTTTCCTCTTTTATTATAGATCTCATGCCTTCATTCATCCGGCATGGTCCAACAATTCCAAGACGAACTGATATCTGTCTTCCAGATTCAAGCTCTAATGCTTTTTCAGCTTCTGGAGATGGAGTAGTTTCAAGAAACCAGAGTTTTCTTAGAACTCCAATTCAAAGAACACCTCATGAAATAATGAGAAGAGAAAGCAACAGATTATCTGCACCTTCTTATCTTGCCAGGAGTTTAGCAGATGTACCTAGGGAGTATGGCTCATCTCAGTCATTTTTGACAGAAGTTAATTTTACTGTTGAAAATGGAGACTCTGGTTCCCGATATTATTACTCCGATAATTTTTTTGATGGTCAGAGAAGGCGTCCACTTGGAGATCGTGCACATGAAGACTACAGATATTATGAGTACAATCATGATCTCTTCCAAAGAATGCCACAGAATCAGGGGAGGCATGCTTCAGGTAACTTAATGTTATAGATACACATTAGTTTATACTGATACTATATTAGTTTATACTATATTAGTTTATACATGCTTCAGGTAACTAATGTTATAGATACTATATTAGTTTATATTGAAATTGACATTTCAATATAAAAGATGCTCTTTTGGATTTTCCTGGGAAGCCAACAAATAACTCTTAGAGAAGTTTTTTCCATTTCCCATTTTGTCAGTCTTAATTCTTCCTGCTTCCAAGTAGTTACCAAACTATACTGAATGACAGAATTATTGTGTCCATTTATTTTATTTTATTTATTAAATACTTTTTTAGCTGTAGGTGGACTTTTATTTATTTTATATGTGGTGCTGAGAATTGAACCCAGGGCCTCACACATGCTAGGCAAGTGCTTTACCTGAGCTACAACCCCAGCCCTGTGTCCATTTATTTTATTAATTGATGTTATATTAAGTTTATTAACTTGGTACTTATCTCAAGACCATCTAGACTATTAATTTCTTAAAACATGGAAAATTTAATGTGTCTAGTTGGGTCAAATTTAGATTTAGGTTTGGTAGAATAGGAAAGTTAGTTCTTTAGACAAGCAGGACTTAAACCTGGGAAAGGAAAAGAGGATAGGAAGAATTGAGTATGATGATAACCTGGGCAACTACATTATTTCATGAGACCTAGCACTGTTTCTTTGAACATAATTTTTCATAACCCAGTAACTTGCCAAGTTGATCAGAAATACTTATTATCAAATGATTAATTATGTGTCAAAAATCTATTTTTGTTCTTTTTGTAATGGGCAAAAAATATTAATCATAGAGTTAAGGAAAAATGCTACTTTTCTTAACTCCTGACTTCTTCGAGGATCAGAAGATATTGGGGAAATGTTACAGTTCTATTTTATCCCTAAAGTACTGGATTACACAATATAAACTGATGCAAACAAAATTAAACTTTTCTCATCTGATTATTTTTTTCCTACCTAGTAAGTTGTAGTCTTTAAATTTGGCAGGATAAAGATAATTTGTGCAACAGATATATTTTTTTAACCTATATAACTTCGAATAAGCTGACTTAGTAGTTTGGAGTATGAGTATTTTTATTATAGGAAAAACTGTATTCACTTACATATCTCTCATTTTCCTTAACCATCTTGGAGTACCTTATTTGGGGAAACAAAATCAGTGTATACACAACAGTCACAGAAATGTTTATTGTTATATTTTGTGGTCCTGACTGATAGAGAGTCAGAAGAGAGATCAGTGTAGGCTGGAGTACTTTGAAGAATGATTCATAGAGGAGGTAAAGTTTAAACTGGGCTTTGGGCTTGGACTTTAGATAAATAGAGCAGAAGAAATGGGCTGGAGTTGATGTAATTTGACTTTGTTTGAAGAAATAAAATGTACGATGAAGATTTGTGGTCCCATAGCTTGCTTTAGACTTGAGTCAAGCAGAAACCATTAATTGGTTCTTCAAAAAGACAAATGATTTTATGAAAGCAGTGTTTAAAAGATTAATTTTGCAACAATATTTAGCATGAATTAAGGTAGCTCCCTAGAGAAAAGAGAATTTAAGTACCAGTGTCAATGGAGAGAAAGCAGATCTAGGATGCTTTTTGAAAGAAGAATGATCTTATGGGTTTGGGAAAAAGTAAATCACTAGAGTTTTGAAAATTGGTGAATGGTGAAATAGTTGGTAAGAGCAGCTTATTTTATGAAAGCTGACAGTGTAGTCTCATTGGAACGTTAAATAGTAAAGGTTTTTCTGGGCATGTTGAAGTACTGTCAAGAGCCTGGATGAATGTCTTTTGATTTTAAAGACTTAGGTTAAAGGATTAAGATAGTAGCATAGAAGAATTACAAGTTATTTGTAATATGCAGTTCTAAACCTCAGAAATAACTTGTTATCCAACTAAAATAAATTTAAGAAATAAAGCTCATTTATATTTTCTTTTAGAGTATTAACTGCTTATTATAGAAAATTTACAAAATGCAGAAAAGTAAAGTATTCATTTACCAGAGATTCTTAGTTATTTTCTTTTCTTCATCTTTCTCTAGAAGAAATGCTTTAAAAAAAAATTGTTGTGATTATACTCTGAATAGTTTTGTGTCCTTGGTTTTTACTTAAGTTGAATTTCTTAATGTTCTACATTTTTTATGGGTGCATTTAATAATAAATAATAATATATCACTATGGTTTATGTTCAGTGGTTAATATTTTGAGTAAATTAATGAGGGCTTGCTTTGAACATTTGGAAAAGGGAAAAGTGGGGCACTGCCAAATTGGGACTTGGCTGCAAAGGAGGTTTGAGAGGGAAGAGTCACATATGATTGGCATAGCACCTGACAACATAAGAGTTGCTTAAAAATATAAATGGTTGAATGAATGTATGAATCCAGAGGTTTCAAACCTGGAAACATAAGTTTTTGTTAGCTGAGGGGGAGCAGGTATAATAGGTGTGTTTATTCTTAATATATTTGTTGCTCTTTGCCCTCACCTTTCCCGTTTCTATAACTGCAAACATTACTAATAGCTCACAAAGGTTGAACATCCCTGTTTTAGTCACCTTTTACGTTGGTGTGACCAAAATACCTGACAAGAACAACTTACAGCAGGACAGATTTGTTTGGAGCTCTTCTTTTCAGAGGTTTCAATCTGTAGAGGACTAACTCCATTGCTCTGGGCCCCAGGTGAAGTAACACATCATAGGGGAAGGGCCCAGTGGAGGAAAGCTGTTCTGCTCTTGGCAGGGTCAGGAAGCAGAGAGAGCAGTAGTGGGGAGGAGGCTACAGAAAAGATACACCCTTCCAGGGCACAACCCCAGTGATCCACCTCCTCTGGTCATACCTCACATGCCTACAGTTACCACCTAGTCATTCAAACTAGGATGGAGTGATTAGGATATGGCTCGCATATTCCAATCATTCACCTCTGAACATTCCTGCATTAATACTGGACCTTTTGGGGAACACTTCATATCCAAACTATAATACGAAAATTGGAAATATTCAGATATCTGAAATTTCTTGAACACAGACATGATGCCACATGTGTAAAACTTCTACACTTAATCTCACTCTACAGGTGGTAATCAGACCTGCAGGTGCATTAAAAATATTGTATAAAATTACCTTCCAGCTGTATGTATAACGTATGTCTGAAACATACATGAATTCTGTGTTTAGGCTTGGATTCCACCCCGAAATACCTCATTATGTGTATGCAAATATTCCAAAATCCCCACCTCACCCCCAAAAATTCAAAATTGGAAACACTTCTGGTTTCCTAAACATTTTTGATAAGGATACTCTACCTATAATACTCTTCTACTTGAACCTTTCATATGTAAGTATGAAGAATTAGTAACACAAGGTTAAAATATTGTTTTAAAATTCTGATTTATAAAATGCCATTGAGGAAATATTCTAAATCTTGGTGGATCCTCTCATAGGAACAATCTGACATGGTTTAAAGACAAATTTTAAAGCAACTTTATTTTAGACATAAAGTAAAGGTTAACTGGTTAAATTAAAGAATGTCATTTAAAAAAATAAGATCTGATTTCATGGAATAGCCAGATCTGCTTTTAATGACAGTAGGCTTCTATGTTCTCATACCCCAGGCCCTTTAATATCATATTGCATTACAGAAAGTTCCAGCTATTTGAAGAATCGTTTGTAATAAAATATCCTCCTCTCCCCCAAAAAATTGTTTTTAAAGATAAACATTTATTATAGCAATCATACATTGCTTAAGAAACTTCATTTAATAACATTAATGTATATCAGGGCAGTATGGATTTAATCTCTGTTTGTTTTTTTTTAAAGAAAATAGTACTTTTTTGAAGGAATTCCTTAAGTTATGGGGAAAGATTAACAATTATTAATCAAATAGAAAAACCTACTATCTGTCTTTTCCAGAAGGGAAAAATCTGTTTATGAAACAATAACAGAACATTTTAAATTCATCTTGAAAAGATCTTAAAGTTATATTTTCAAGATTTAATCTGGTTAGGGCTCAAGGAATTTGAAGAGAAAGGAGAAAGTAAATTTGTGGGAGAGAAGGGCTGAGCTGTTGACAGTGTGTTTTTATAAGCAATAAAATTATTACTAATGTAATAAGCATAAGAAGAATGGAAAAATTGTTTTGAATGGCTTAATAATAGAAGTAATTTCTGCCCATAAGTTTTTACTTAGACTTGCAGGAAATGCCTTCTCTCAAAGGCACAAATACATTTTCTTGTATTTAGCAGGGGCGCAAAAACAAGTTGTATAGTATCTTAATGAGTTTTAGAGGGCTTGGGAATTCATCAATTAGCTGTGATATTTGACCTTTAACGTTCTTGGCCAACATGCCAATTTGGCACTTACAGTATGTGCCACAGGAAGGAATGCTGCTATTAACAGGAAGTCTTTAGTTGGAATACTAAAAGCAGATTGAATTTCTTTGTTTTGCACTTAAATAATTTAGTTCCATGCAATTTTAAATAAAAAATTTAAAAAATATTTTTTGAAGTTTTAAAGGTCACAGAATTGTATTATTTTAAAAATCAAACTAAAAAGTGTTAGGTTTACAAAATAGTGGATATATTTACTCTAGTAAACATGTAAATATGTAGTTAACCAGAATCATTTTTTGAGGAGAGGTTGACAATCTTTAGAGATACTTTATCTGTAATTACTTTGCATAGGAACAGATAAAACAGTTTGGTTCAATACTGAGGTCTTTGTTATCAACATCCTAATTGTAACACTGGCCATAATGTTTAGTAGTTACTACTGTGGACCTTGTGGAACTTCATTAGAGTTCCAGATTCCATTTTTTTTTTCTCTGTAGGTAGTACAAAACCAGAATTTTTTTGATTTATTTATAAATGTAGGTCTCATAAGTATTTTTCTTCTTCTATGAGGTTAAGTTTTTTTGAAGATATTTCAGTGAAAGATTAATTAAGACAATGCTTTCTTCATCTTTAGAAAATCATGTAATTAGCTTGCAGTGTTTTACTTTAT